TTTAAAGATACGCCCACAAAATACGCTCGGTGGTATTTATAAATGCTAACCACAGGCTTGCCTTAAGGGTAACAGTTCTAGTCCTGGGATATATCCAAGAGACAGGAGGACATATGCCCACTAACCACAGCAGAATTCATAATGGTACCAAATGAAAAATACCAGTAGAACAGATAAACTGATATATTTGTTTAACAGAATGATGGGAAAGAAGCCAGACACAAAAGAGTAATACTGTATGATTCGCTTATATGAAGTTCAATTATAAGCAGAACGAATGGATGGTGACAGAAGTACAAACAGTGGCTACCTGTGCAGGTGACTACTGGCTGGATGGGGGATGAGGTGGTCTTTAGGTGCTGGCAGCATTCTGTACCTTCATCTGTGGGTGGTTTCAGGGGCTTATACATATGTAAAAATTTACTAAGTTGTGCCCTTCAGATCTCTTAATTTTGGTGTTATGTATATTACGGCTCAGTAACAAATAAGTGTCCCCCCAAACAAGTCATGCTTACACACAAGCCAAGTCTATCTGAACTTGCTAGGTTTAAGTCAACACTAGTCAGCACTGAGCTTCCTGAAAGCTTATGAAGAAAGCAATCTATCAAGAATTCTCCCACCGCTTCCTGTTTGTGTGAGCTTTGAAGGAACTGATGGTTGCAGGGGCTGTGGGTTTTGGAAAGCAAGGCTTGGTGACAGCCGTCCATGCTGGTGGTTCTTGGAGGCGAGGTGTGGATGTGTGAGGACAACATCCAGACGGTGGACCCTTAGGGTGCGGTGTCTGTGGCACAAGCAGGGCTGGGGCTGGCTCTGCAGCAGTGCTGGGGTAGGGAGGTGGCTGACATAGGACCTCAGGTGAGGGTGCAGGTGGGGGTAAGCTGACAGGAGGGAACGGGGGCACGTGCCTGGAGGCGAGGACCCACGGCAGTGGTACTGGGTGAGGGCTTGCACACCGAGCTTGGATGCGCCAACCACAACCTCCTCAAGCTCAACAAATCTGAAACCAAACTCACCCTCTTTCCTCTGGAAATGAGTTCTTCTTCTGACTTGCTCATTTCTGTTGCTGGCAATTCCGTTCTCGCGATACCTGCATCTGACTACATGAGAATTCTCTTTGCCTCCCCTCTCCCTTATCAGAACAGCGTCTGAGCCTTTCCGTTATGTCTGCAGTCCATTCTTGCGTGTATTTTTATTCCCCAAGGACTTAGTCTTGTACAGGACACAATAACAGCAGTATTTATATATCACTTGCCATGTGCTGGGCACCGTGCTAACCACGTCACATGTCTTGTTGTTAGGTATCTTGGCAAAAATTAAAGCACAAAGCAGGTAAAATGTATTTCCACTTTAAGCAAACTGAGGTGTGGGAAAGTTAAATAACTTGGCCAAGGCCCCGAGGCTGGCAGGCCATGGTTCTATGTGGCTTCAGCGCCGCTCGTGTGTGTCCCTTTGCATGCTTGCAGACCGCCCTGGTGCAGTCTCAGGCTTCCTTAGGTCAGAAGCTCCTAGCAAAGTCCCTTTCCCAGACAAGGCATTCAAATAATTAATGCTGGCATTACTTGGAGACCCTGATTGGATACAATTTAGCAATGAGTTTATGACTAAAGACGACGTGCTGGGATTGAGGGAGGCATACAGGCAAGAGAATGAGCGATAGCAAATAATTTCTAGCTGCCTCTAGAATGCTGTTGACAGGGGACCACCCTCACAGGCTCTGACCCTGGTCTTGACCTTCTCCCCGACAGGGGCTTCTGCTTACAGTCCAGTGGGGTAGGGGGTGGTAGGAGGAAAGGAACACAGGGAGGGCTGTTTAACACATGTCCGAATTTCAACTTTACTTGTGCCCTGGGAAATGTCACCACATCTACCCAGGGCAGGGGGGGGATGGTATCAGACATTTGTGTGCCCGTAGATGGGAAACCCACAATGGTGTTGAAAAACAACTGTCACTCACAGTCCCAAAATACCTGTGTTGGGCACTTGCTTCTGAACACGGCCCACACTTCCATAATCAAGCTTTAGCCTGACCGTGGCCTCTGGGTATCATAAAACCCGACTTGTAAATATTATCAGGCACATGGCCCAGCTGTCTGGAGGAGCAGATTAATCCCCAGCAGAAACTTTAGCACGCAGCACGCATGCCATCTGTAGAGCACACTAGCAGATACATACCAGGCCTTTCTGTCTCGTTAAGAGGCCGGGGCAGGACAGACCCGCGGGAGGAATTTTATAAACAGCTGGGCTGTCCCAGAACTGGAAAATGAAGCTCTTTCAAACTCCCTCACACATGCACATTAGAAAGTGCCCCTTAAAAACTTTCCCATAAAGAGAAAAAGGGGTGTATGACTAACCTCAATTTTTATTTTTTGTTTTTAAATCACTGTCTTGGTAAGAGGCCGTTGGTGTAGCTTAAGAGGGATGTAATGGTGCCGGCCACACCTGGATTCAAATCCTGCCTCTGCCCTTGTACTAGCTGTGTGACTTTGTACAAGTTACTTAACCCCTCGGAGTCTATCATTTCCTTCCCCGCTCCTCACATTTACCCTCTCAGGCCTGGCTCTCGGTAGGTAAGCGCCCCAGCTCCTTCCTTTCCTTCTGCTGCAGGACAGCATTCTTGTATCCTCCTTGTAAATCCTGGAGCTCCCAACCTTTGTGTCTTTCTCCAAGTTCAGTTCTCCACTTCATTTACTTCTCCTTACTCATCTCTTTCCAGTGTTTGTCATGGATAGGTAAATATTTGTGAAAGGGAAGAGAGAAACAAAAAGAATTTTAAGAGGGAAGGGTGGGACTACTTGGAAGTTAAGCAGAGGAAACACGGTACAAAGGGTATGAAGCTGATCTGAAAGGCGTCAGGACAGCAGCTGGGAAACTGATGGTGGGGGGGTGAGGAAGCCACCAGAAGTGGACAGACAGCTGAGTGGGGAGGAGGGTGGGACTTGATGCCCAGGACTGAGGGTGGCCACCCGTGGCCCTGCTCCATGGTGGAAGCATGCGGTCAGGGAAACCAGTGAGGGGCTCTCACACGCCTTCCCCTATGGCGCCGGTCACCCGGGGCCACAGCCAGAGGACCGGACCCCACTCCATGAACTAAACATTCAGCCTTGTCAACAGCACCTCCATGAACATCTTCAGTTTCTGCCCTGCAGCCCTCTCGTTTGTGGATGGTTCAAGGCGCGGATTTGTAACCACAAATTCCGTGGAGTCCAGAGTCCGGGAGAAGGGGAGAATCAAATCCTGGACTACCCCAGCCGGCACCAGGACTCTACTCACGCAGGCAAGGACGCTTACGTGATGGATTGCCAAGACCAGCTCCAATCTCACCCCTTCCTAAATCAAATATTCATGTCCCCAAACCTTCACCTGCTCCCCCTCCTTCTGGGTCTGTGAATTGGGATCTGAAGGGTTTGCCTCAGGGTGAAATCTCTCATTTAGGGCCAGGTCTCAGACCCCAGTGGCACTGCAGACCCTCTCAGCTCACGCAGACTCAAAATCATGTCCACGTTTCTCTCTGGACTGCCAGTGCCAATCACAGCTGCCCATGTGCCTCTGATTAGGGACGTGGCCCGCCGTCTGGCCCCACAGGAGTGTGTGCATGTGCGTGCGCGTGCGTGTGCATAATGTGTGGGCATGCTCCCTGTTGTGGGCGTTTGGCTCCAGGACAGGAAATGCCATGTGTTGGGGAAATTCAAATAGCCGAGCTGTCTGACCAACACGGAATTGAGCACTTGGACAGTATCTGCACCAGCCAGGGTCTCAGTTTAACTGTTTTCCTCGTCACTTGAGAATGATAAAAGGAGGGAAGAACTGGCATGAAATGACAGAATTTAGAAAGAAAGGACAGGAATTCCAAGGTGGCTATTACAAAACCCAGTAGAAAGCGCTGCCCTGTAATATATTCCAGTCACCGCTCAGCCCTGCTCAGAATGCCTAGGCTTGGTTAAAAACAACAGTCATGAAGGCTACCCATTTCCTTCAGACGTGAACATTATATTCTACATGAGGAGCCTACATTCGACTGCAAACGGCACACTCAGTTTCATACATTTACCTGTTGACTGCTGTGTGCAGATCCAGGAAGATCAAAAATAACCCTGGGAATTCCCTCCCTGGCATCTGGTGCTCTAAAAAGCATCCAAAAAGCTCCCCACTGGAGTGGTTGCTCGCTTGGGATGTATTTAATCTAGAGTCTAATTTCTACAAATCTGTGGAGGAGGGAGAATGGAGGGAGATGATTTAGAGGAGGTGGGGCTGCTTAGGAGACGCCGCTATTTTCTGTCCTCTTTCTACATGATCCCCCTTCTGCTCTTCTCCCTGCTCTGGACCCAGCTGGACCCCCATCAGTGGGCTCCCCTGACCTCTGGCTTCTTGCTGGGTTTGGCAGGATCTCTGGAGGAGGAGCTAAGGTATGAAGCCCCTGATCCGTGCCTGGCCTCTGCCTGCCAAAGGTGGCCTCTGGTTCTTAGCTCTGGTGCCTGCCTATTCCCTTCCCCACTGCCCTTCTGGCCTCGGGTCAGGTCCGTGGCTGTTGCTACCTCTGGGATATCACCTCCTGCCTTGTTGGCTTTCCTAACTCTGCCCGTGCCTTTATAAAGAGCTCCTTTATTCAAGTCTCCAATGAGTGTGCTTTCTTCATTCTGCTGAAACTCTGATGGAATGATGCGCTATTATTTGACTTCTCTTTTGGCCTTCCACAGCCCTCTTTCTCCAAAGGCAAAGCATCCCAGGCCTGGACACTGTGATGAGGGTAGCATGAGTCAGGAAGACCACATTAGAGGACGTTCATTCACCAAAAAGCAACATCTGTCCATCTACTGGACCCACCACAGTCTCCCATCTGCAAAGCTGTCAGATTCCCGCCAGGTTAAGAAGAAAGCACTTGGCCAAAGAAGGCCATTTCAAGTATTTTTCTGGAGGAAAGGCAGGGAAGGGGAGAGGAAAGGTCCTGAAGAAGCTCCTGTTCTCGAGGCTGAGGTCACAAGCCCTCCTATTTAAGTGCCCACCTTGTCGTGCTGTGTACTCATTGTCTTCGATCAATCTGGCTAGTCCAAAGTCAGCAATCTTGCATATGAGTCCGTTCCCCACTAGGATGTTTGCTGACCGCAGATCCCTGTGGATGTAATTCATGCGCTCGATGTAAGCCATTCCTGCAGCAACCTGTGGAAACCGATGGACAGGACACGTTACCCCACGACTCGTACTGACGTGGCAGTAAACCTGAGGCAGGAACCAAGGGACCATGCGGCCTACCTGTGCGGCCATATCCACAAGATTTGGTAATTTCAGAGCTCTTCCTTCCCCATCTTTTAAGAAATCAAGTAAACTTCCTATGAACAAAAGAGAAAACCATTTCAATTTACTTTGAAAGATAAAAATGCCTGACAAAGGGTTGGGTTTGGTTTTCTTATTAGAAATAATGAGGTGATTGAATGAATACCATCAATGAAGAAAAGATTTATTAAAAAAAAAAAAAGAGGCTAGAAAAAATTCTGTTCTTTGAAAGGTAGCAGTTTTATCTTTCAGAAACAAACAATAGTGACTCCATTTCTAAGGACAACAAAAATCTGACAAACCTACAAGAAATGGGATGCAATTCTCTATGTCATAAAGAAGGACATATGAGGAGCTGACCACTTTAGCCTCATCTCCCATCAGCCCTGAATGAAGGAGTGACATAGGGAAAATGCCACCCAGGCCAAGTGGCTCCCAAAGTGTGGTCCTGGGACCAGCAGGAAGAGCTTCCCTTAGGGAATTTGTTAGAAATGCAAGCTCTCAGGTCCCAACCTAGAACCAGAATCAGAGACTCTGGAGGCGGGCCCAGAAAGCTGTATTTTAAGAATACCCCTTGGGAATGCAAGCTGGTGCAGCCACTCTGGAAAACAGTATGGAGGTTCCTCAAAACACTCAAAATAGAACTACCCTACGACCCAGCAATTGCACTACTAGGCATCTATCCAAGGGATGCAGGTGTGCTGTTTCGAGGGGACACATGCACCCCCATGTTCACAGCAGCGCTATCAACAATAGCCAAAGTATGCAAAGAGCCCAAATGTCCATCAACTGATGAATGGTAAAGAAGATGTGGTTTACATAAACAATGGAATACTACTTGGCAATAAGAAAGAATGAAATCCTGCCATTTGCAACCACGGGGCTGGAACTGGAGGGTATTATGCTAAGTGAAATTAGTCAGAGAAAGACAAAAATCCTATGATTTCACTCATATGAGGACTTTAAGAGACAAAACAGATGAACATAAGGGAAGGGAAACAAAAATAATATAAAAACAGGGAGGGGACAAAACAGAAGAGACTCATAAATATGGAGAACAAATTGAGGGTTACTGGAGGGGTTGTGGGAGGGAGGATGGGCTAAATGGGTAAGGGGCACTAAGGAATCTACTCCTGAAATCATTGTTTCACTGTATGCTACTTTGGATGTAAATTAAAGAAAATAAAAAATAAAACAAGTTGAAATTAAAAAACAAAGACTAAAGCCTATAAAAAGAAAAAAAAAAAAAAAAGAATACCCCTAAATGATTCTGATACACAGTAAGGTTTGAGAATCATTGGCCTCACTTATTTACAGATTTTAAATCAAGAAAAGAATATCTGAGGAATACAGGGTGGGGCAGTTAGCTCCCCTTTTTAAATCATGGCCAGCCAGGCCTTGAAGATATCAGAAACAAAACAGCTGAAGCTTCAGAGCCACTGTGATAACAGCCTCGGGAGCTCAGGACCAACACCAGGGCGGAAACAATCATGTGCCGAGGCTGGATGGAGGCTCATGATGGTCATCGGTGACTGTTTCCATGCTTTAATCACAAAGTTATTTACCAAATAACCCTGGATACAAGGGACAAACAATCTGCCAGGGAAAAAAATTTCCAAGTGTATTTAAAAAGAAAGTATATGGACAGGAAAAATTATGCTGGTGCCCCCTGATGTACAACGCATTGCCTTTTAAGGCTGTTTCTTGTTTGGTTTGTCTATTTTTCCAAAACAAAGTGATTCTGGGCCTTATCCTTGGCAATAGTGCTTTGATTAGAAAGAGGCAGAGAAAGAATGAAAATAAAACGGGCTCTTTTTTTTTTTTATTTTTTTTTATTTTTATTTTTTCAACGTTTATTTATTCTTGGGACAGAGAGAGACAGAGCATGAACGGGGGAGGGGCAGAGAGAGAGGGAGACACAGAATCGGAAACAGGCTCCAGGCTCTGAGCCATCAGCCCAGAGCCCGACGCGGGGCTCGAACTCCCGGACCGCGAGATCGTGACTTGGCTGAAGTCGGACGCTTAACCGACTGCGCCACCCAGGCGCCCCTAAAACGGGCTCTTTAAAAGCATGTCTTTCTTCATCTGATGTTTAAGAAGAGAACTGGGAAAGAAAAGGTGCTGAGAAGATGGAGACTAAGCTGAGTCCAGAGACCAGTGTCCGATACTAACTGTTCAGCCCTGAAAAAGGAAATTTAGCACAAGCCATGGCATTCAAAGTAGCAGCAAATGATCATAGCCCTCCAGATCACCCCGGGTATTAAATATGAATGCTTTAATTATGGAGAGGAGCTGGGACTCCTGACACGTGCAGTGTGCAAAAGGTGTTGCATTTCATAAGGATCTGGGGGGCAAACTCAAGGTCATGGTCTGTTCTAACAATGCTTTCATTAACGAGCACATGATTTGTGCTTCCTGACAGGAATGCCGGACTCATGCAGAAAGCAGAACAAAAGCAGGCAGGCACCTCCATCTCCCTCCCCGAAATAACCCCTGTGGGTCAACTGCGAGGTGGGGCCTGACCTTTATTCATGTACTCGGTGACAATGTAGATGGGCTCCTCGGACACCACTGCGTAGAGCTGGACCAACTTGTCATGTTTCAACTTCTTCATGATCTGTGCCTCCTCAAGGAATGACTCGGGGGACATTGTGCCTGGTTTAAGAGTCTTTATGGCTACTTTTGTGTTTCCATTCCAGGTACCTGCACACATCCCACAACGTTAAGTCAAACCGAGGATCCTCTTTTGATGGGAAAATAAAAAAGCTTTTAAATCAACAGCTACTTGCATAAGGTTAGATTTTAACTTAGAAAAACTTAATATCCTTTTTTGTTGAATGAAGACAAGCGAATGTAGTAAGGACTGTGTCCAATATCTTCAACAGGAAACATGAGTTTACTTATAGCTGTGTTATGGTTTGTAATTCTTTTAACTTTTTTCTGATTTTGATATATGCCACTTTCCTTTTCTAGCTCGCGCATGTGATTACAAATTGGTACCCAAAGTTTTGGATGCTTCTTTAACAAGGCTGAAAGTTCAAAGGTTAGAACAGGCCTGGCTATCCCACCGCTATCCCTTAGACAGTAGAGCAAGCATGGAAGAAACTAGGATAGTTCTGTTGTATGAAGGGTGCCATTTAAAAAAAGACGGCAACACACCGAGGAAGTCTGGAAGTTACCTTTCGACTTTCCACCGTGTGCGGTGGGTGAGCTACTTGACAGAGACCTTGAACAGCTGATATCTAAGTGAGATTACAAGTATGCCAATGGGCACTGGCAAGAAGCTCACGGTCTACTTGCCCCAAACTTCAACCAGGTAAGGACAACTCCTCAGGTCAGCTACAAGAGCAACAGCCTCTATAGGACTGAAAAAATCAAACAGCAGCTGAGAGGGAACAGAAATATTTAGGCTTCACAGGTGGAGAAAGTCAAGTAGATACAGAGACAGGCCTGGTTTATGATCATTTGTTGCCTCATCTGTAGAATAGGAGTAGAACTGGATTATCTTTTGAATCTCTTTCAGCTGCGAAATTAAAAAAACAAAAATCCAGGTTCTATGTGTATTCCGTTATTAGTCCTACAACTTCGGATTAAAACTCTAAGGGAAACAGAAAAATCTGCTAAGTTAGAGCGTGCTTTTTCTGTTTGGAAAAGAGAGCTGGTTTAAATGAAGATTCATTTTTATATTTAATGTAATTGACTTCAGAATTAAATATTTCTGTAAACTTTTGTTACCCTGTTCAAAACATGGTTCATACGATTACAACATGAAGCTTAGAAACATCTAAGTTATGAAAGAACAGTGGCTTAAAAAAGAGTTCATTCAAACCTTATAAAATATCTGACCACTAAATATAAATGGAAAATCTGATAATCTGGAAGTGGTCTTTGCTATTTGAGTGCTATTAGCATCCCAAAATTTTAAATAGAGATTTTCCTCTCTAATAACAACCCAGTTACTCTCACTGGCATTCCATCCTGATCCCGAACTACCACGACATAATGTTTTATGCTCAGTGGGCAACAAATTCTTAATAATGTGATATAATGATTTAAAGTTGATAATCATAAAATTTGAAAATAAAATTTTGTAGAATGTCCAATTCTTCCTGATTGTATAAATGATTGAATTGAAATCCTTGGCACCCACAACTTCAATTATAAATTGGGCAGATGAGGGAGAGGAAGGCTACATGAAGATATTTTATGATACTTGAGTTAAAGTACGGAGAGAGACACAATAATGTGGACTCGAAAAATGAGAGCACTTATTATATAGTAGCTTATACATACACAGCACATATAGGTGTATGTTTGAATGTCTATCTCTAACCTTATCGCTACACCCATATCTATGTAATATTTATTCTTTGCCAGGCTCTGTTCCAAGTGCTTTCACTGTACTAAATCTTCTAATGCTGACCACCCCTGCACACCTACAGCTACAATGTAAAAACAGGTACCTATCCATATTGTTTTTAATTGAACCTAAGAAAGAAGGTAGATTCCATAAGCACCAACACTGTCTCACTGACAGATGTCTTTGGGTGGCACCAAACCCATGGATTTTCTCCAAGCAAAGCTGTAAATGACCCAAAGGGTGTTATAAAAGCAGTGGGAAGGGCCCAGTGCAGTCAGCCTCATCAATGAATGACATGACAACCGAATTAAGAGAAGTATGTGTGCCTACTGAGCACGAACTGCGTGCAAGGACTCTAAATATATTGTCCTATGTGATCCTCAATCCTATGAAGTAGGTATCATTCCAATTCTACAGACGAGGAAACTGAGGCTCAAGGAGGTTAAATGAGCCCCTTGGATATGGTTAATCAGCTAGTAATGATTCAAACCCTGGCCCACTGAGCATAAAAGCCCATGGTCTTTCCCTATAGTAACCCATCTATAGTATCTTACCTTCCTATGTCTCAGGAAGAGGAAACAACAGACACTTATTGTATTGGTGTTTCTTCTATGTGCGTCTGCTTCACCAACCATATGAAGAAGTATAGAAGAGCACAGCAAGGTATCGCCGTATTCTCAAAATCTAGATGGCCTGCGTCTGTCTAGCTTCAGGTTAAGTGTCTTGGTCCCAATGACTGTGTGTGTGTGTTTGTTCAGACTGTCCTTTTAATTGGCCTTGAGAAGTAGCCAAAATGAAATGTGCCCTCTGCCTTACCAAGCCACACTTCAGCGAAACACCCCTGACCCAGCTTCTTCTCCAGAGACAATGAACCACGTGCAACTTCCCAAGCATCTTTAGCCAATCCAGAAGTTTGTGGGGTACAACTTGATGCAATCACAGTTAAGTTAAAACACAAACCATCAGCTTTCTCTACAGGAAAGGAAATTAATAAAGAAAACACAATCCTTATAATCTGTTATCATGCATGCACTAGGGAAGATGGAAGGTGACTTACCCTTTAGGGCAACACTGAGTTCACTGGGCAAACGTTTGCAGTTGTAAAGGAAGGGCAAGGCATTTGTGCAAGCTGGAACATTCCTTGCACTGTTTTCTGGCTTATGAATTGAGATTCATATAACGGCATAATTTGAGCCATTTGCCAATCTTGACCACTATCTCTCTTCTAGAAATTCTGGAATTTTGAAATCAAAATCAAATGTATAATTCTCTACTATGAGTAACTTAAGCCTTCTTCCTGGTCATAAAGTCTTTATTTTCACCTTCCATCTTCGCTGTTTGGGACTTCCCAAACGAGAAAGCTAGTAATAGAATAATTGAGTCTCAGCATACCCATCCATACTTCCCCAAACTGCCCATTTCCCAGTCTCTTGATCAACTGCAGGGATTCTCGAGGGATTTCCCAGACATCTTTGGTTTTGACAGACAGATCGGTAAGCCTTGGCATCCCTTTATGACAGGGAACTACGAGGCGGCAGCAGAGGCCTGCGGCTCTCTCTGATGGAGCGAGGACAGCGGCAGGAGAGGGAGAGAAAAGCACAACACGTGAAACAACACTTACAGTTGCACAAACCCAGCGAGTGCACAGTGTTGCTGAAAACAGTGCTACGTCGGCGGAGAGCTGCGCACATCTTGGAAGATTAGACACCACACATTGAAACATGGTCATTGGAGGTAGAACAGAGGACATTTTCAATGCAGACTGCTCCATGCCTCCAGGTATAGTATAGTTTACACATATATACAGGTACAGGTATGACTGCTTTGGTTTCTAATACTCGCTAAGGAAGAAAAACATTTTCAGCAACTTGTGCTAATAACATGTCTCTGGAACCCTGAAATACCTCCGCTGATTTCAAAAGGTACATCTGGACTACTGAATGTCAGCACGACTGTCCTTAACCCTCTCTAATGTCAAGGGTTTAGGGGCTTTCTTTGGTCTGAATATATTGAAAATTGTAGCTTCAGTACAGGATTTTTCTCTTCAATCTTAGACTGTTATAAACTAGTAGGGCTGAAGATTCTACCTGGCAGGGGAAAAAAAGAGGTCACATTTCTCTAGTGATTTCTTTGGCATTTTAACTGACTCTATTCTACCAGTCAGATGCTCTCACTTCTTTGATATTTCCCATTAAAAATAAATCTTTTTAACAGTCTCCAATGTATAATTTAGAAATCTGGTTTCAAAGCAGAAAGACAGGAAACCGAAATCTGTACAAATTCAAGGATGTGAAAGAACTGTTTCTTATGAAAAAGACAAAGGAAAAAAGTTATCACTTATAGGTTATTTGGATTTTTTTTCTTTTGTTCTCTTTCTTTTCCTTCCTTCCTTCCTTCCTTCCTTCCTTCCTTCCTTCCTTCCTTCCTTCCTCCCTCCCTCCCTCCCTCCCTTCCTTCCTTTAAAAGAATATACCTTTTACACTTTAGCAGTGATAAGGGGGAAATTGCCTAAATGCCAAGTGAAATCTCTGTCAGGTAAGAAAAGGTAACAAAGAACAAGGAATCAGGGCAGTGACAAAAGCTGTAGAAAGCCTGGCTTGTGAGGCAGAGCCTCTGCCCCACCACACCCCCTGAAGGCCCCTCGGATCCAGGAAAATCACATGTAGTGCTCTCTTTTCTCTAGGAACCAGCTCTTAGTTTCTTTTTATTCCTTTCTTTTTGGTAGACTCAGGTTCTGAGATGTTTAGGCAGGAAATTATTTATGTGTCAATATTGCAAAGGCATTTTATTGTGTGAGAGAGAGTAAGGGGGGAAGAGGAAAAGCCAATATAAAAACAAATCTAACTCGAGATGGATTTTTTTTGAGATTAAAAAACGTCTATTGCTCTTCATATCCCTTCTCTCCTTCCAGCTTTACGATGTTATTAAGGTGCCCTTTCCAACACAATATTTTCAAATGATCCAAACCCTGGGGATCCTGCTGATGTTTGCCTGTAATGAAATATATTTTGGCATTTGAAAAATTCTGACACATGCAGGCATTTTGAGTGTATCACTGAAGCTCAGGGAGAGATTCTGCTCCATTTCTCCCAAATATTTCATTAGAATCACGTAAACTAGAGCTATCCAATGCCCTAATCAACGAGTACTCCAAGTGTTCTTAATTTTCTCACTTTTTCATTAGTGCCTGGGATAAATCAATAGGTATTTCTTATTTCCATTTTCAAAAGACTGCTTTTTTTGGGGGAGGGGCGCTAAAAAATTATACACACATTTTTAAAAAATGAATGTGCACAGAGCAAGTCATGCACTATTTTGGGGTTTTGTCATTGTCCTGAAGAACACACATATATAGGTCACAGAAAAAACTACTGGGTTTAATGGGATACAGATATATACCTGTATATGTGTATCTATATAAAAATCCACCTGTGTGTGTATGTCATATAGCAGGGTATTCTTGCTAATCTTGGAAAGAAAGAAATCATTTTAACACTTGTGTATAAGACCACAATCCTTACTAGAATGTACCAACTGTACACCTAAACACCTCATAAGTGCATATTTCTAGGAACACACTGACAGTGACAAATGGGTGTTAGGACAGAGGCTGTTCCACTTACTGTTCACCAGTTTAATTTAACACAATGGCCCTAACAGATCTAGGAGGAGCTGTGGGTCACAGAGTCTACATCTAGTTAGGAAACAGCAGTATTGGTGGATCAGTAGAACATGATAGATGGGTTGCAAAATTCTTCTGGTCATGAGAATGAAAAGCATGTGTGGCTATTCCTGTGAGTACTGAGTGAGAACTGGGGGGTCCCCTACACGATCCCCCAACACTCCGTGTGTTCCCGCCCAGACACTGTTCTCTCTCCTGTCATGGTTTCTGATGACAGACTCCAGGGGAACAGGAAAAGATGACAACTTTTACAATTTAACCTACTGCTTTGTATCTGGGGAACAAGAATGGTACAGAGTTTTTTGACAAACGTATGGAACTAATAATAACTATAGAAAAACATCAACAGATCCTATGCAGCAAAGTCCCATGTTGAGTGGTGAGCAAAGAAAACTGTCACTGCTGCCTTTGTGTATGCTTGTATCTCTCCCCCCACCCCCTACTCAGTGCCTACCCACTCCCTCCAGTGTCCCAGTGGTTAGTAGCGAGTTGGCATTAGGGTTACCTGAGTAATGTTGTACAAGCTGCTGAAGTGTTTCAAACTGGGCCCGGGTGGTAATATAGTATCCACCATTGTCAAGTTTGCGAATTTTATAATGTTTGACATGGTCTCCTTTCATATCATCCCAATCTCGGATCGACAGTGAATAGGCACCTGGTAAATATGCAAGGCATTAGCAGCTCCAATCATTCTGAGAGCTCATTCGTTTTTTCGGTCTCATTCACTTGAGTACTCTGATTAATAATCATCAAGAGGACACACACACACACACACGTATGTGCGTGCGTGCACACAAACACGCTCTCTTCCACTCAGGAACAGAAGAAGAAAACACCTCTTTCCCGCAAATGTCAGAAGATGTTAGCAATAAAGTGATTTTACTCGTGAGAAGGAAAGCTTTCTGGATTTTTTCCTACAATTATTCTCTTCAGTACCGTCACCCGCACGTTGCCTAACACGGGATAGACCCAACTCTCCCGAGAGGGGATGAAGAACAATAGCCCCGCAGGCTGGGGGCGCTCTCCTCGTCTTCCTCACCCATGGAGTGTCCCAGAGGCAGGGCAGCGTGTGCTACAGAAGTGGAAGGAGTGCTTCCCTACAAGGGAGCCTCCTGTTTCTGATTTGCCACACTTTCTCGGGAGCAGATAACCATGTCTGGTAGATCAAGGTAGAAAGTCCCTTCCCTTGGCCCGGCTCCTCTTGTGGGCTCTAATGAGTGTTTCAGTGATGAAAGGGCCAGCAGTTGGAGGAAGAGCAGTGCTCAGTTTTGAAAAAATAAAAGGAATGCAAAAACAACCTGTAGGACTGGCGCCTGGGGAACTAAGAGAGATTCAGAAAATCGTAATTCTAAAGAACAGCTGAAAATTCTATGATCTTGTGCGCCTGCAGGAGCGAAGCTGCCCAGCTCCCTGTTTCAGGAAGAAGGGCTTTGCTTTTGAGCCTCTGTAGTCCTTCCGGGACCGTGTGCAGTTCTAGAGCCTGGAGGGAAAAACTGAAACTCGGACTCGCTCACGAGGCAGGGAGGGTATGTGCCATTTAAAAATCCTTGCACATTAGAGATAAGCCTTTCATCCCCTCTGACTAATCCACGGATTTGAATGACAACCAACATCTTCAACTCCTTATCTTACCTTTGGTGGTTTCACTCTCACGGATAAGAAAGGTACCTCTCGGGTTTCCAAAGGACAAAAGCTGTCGCTCAGCATCTTTTCGGCCAAGTTTTCCAAAGTACCACCTTTAAATGAAATCAAGGGAGGGGAACATTTTGTAATGATCATTTACAAAAATGGAATAGCAACCCCCCCTTCCCTCTGATTTCATCCTTAGCATTCCCCTATAATATTTTTTCCTAGCTTCATCTAGCTCCCTTTCAGTCTGTTCCTGATTCTATCCCTAATCCACCTCTACCATTCTTCAAAGAAAAAAAGTCAGATTTGAACGGTGGGTGACTTTCCTTCCCTTCAGAGGTGACAAGAACTGGTCTGTGTTAAAACCGCCACCTGCATTTATGAGAAGAGAAATCTAAGACCTCGTTTTGAAATGGCAACTGCAGGAGACCCTTCCCACACACATCTATGAGACCCCGGATTTCTGAGCATAATTACACCCCCTGGGAAATAACAAAGCACAGCCTTAGTCTATACACGGATCATTAATCAAGCATTAAAAAAAAAAAGCCAGTCACAATGGATACAGAACAAAGACATGGTATTTTCAGTCACTTTGTACCTACAGCAACTTTGAAAACAATTGTCAAAACCACCCCCGATTTGAGATGGCTGTGGACTGTGGATGTCAGTTTTTAGTCTCTTCCTGTCCAGCAGGGTGAGGACTTAGGTGAGTGAAAGGATCTGCCTCTCGGGTGGGTGGGGATCTGCACACGTGTGTTTTGGTGCCGCTGCAGGAACAGGTCGCTGTGCACAGTCAACGAGCACGTCCTGAGAAATGACTGGGTGTACCGTGTCCTACTCTCCCCATAGTGACACTCCAGTGCCATGAGGAAGGCATCGTGAAGTCATATCACAACCTCTGCCATTCACCTTTTACCTTCCCCTGCACTCTCCAGCCCTAACCATGGCCTGGCAGGGAGTTAAATGGGTCAGCACGAGGTGCTGCAAGAATTCACAAGCATTCATTTGGAATCTGTGCGTAGAAACAATTTTAGAATATTCAACTGTGAAATAATCCAGTTTCTAAAATGAAATTTTAATTCCTTATACTTGAACATAGCTATTATGCGTTCACTGTCAAATTCTTTTGTGAATGAAAGAGCTTCACCGATCGTAAGAAAAGACACACTGCAAGTTAGCTCCTCAGTGACTTTTAAAGGCACCAGACTGTGCGACAGTCCTAACCTAGCACTAGATGGTATGAAGAGAATTACAGCAATTATTTATGAGAAATGACTTTCTGGGTTGGCATCAATCACCCAATTAAAATGCAGTATAAACACGAGCAGTGGTGAAGAGAGAACAGTTAGAACAATGGATTGAACCAAAACAATGGCATTTTAAGATAATGGCAATTAATTGTCTATGTAAAACCATATGCGTTATCTTTTTAAAATGCTAATTTATTCTTTAAAAACAAAGTAGTTTAAAAATTGATCATTATAAATAGAACTTAAATATATAGTGGGTATGTTCCCAGTTAAACCAAAGTAATGCTAACTTTTAGTGGTACCTTTTATTCTGAAAGAACACAAAGATGTTTGCAAATCTGCCCTAAAATAAAAATTCAATACAGATTTCTTTACTCTTTGATGATAAAACACACTCACTAGGAGGAAAAAAGGAGTGCAGAACCACTGAGTATTTGAGAGTGGGGAACAAAACAGGTCTTCTTAGAGAAAATACAAAGGAATTAAAGGCAAGACAGTGATCCGATTGGGGATTTGGCTGGGGTGTGGCGTCTAATCCTCCTTGCGGTGCTTAAACAAATCCAGGGCAAAATGCAATATCAGAGCCAAAGGCTGGGCTTCATGGCTGACTCTTCTCGACTCCCTTATTGGTAAGGCAAGACCACCAGGAGAGGCAGGTCCCCAGGGTGTCAGGGAGGAGGGCAGGTCCCCAAGTTTTGGAGTCACGGGCCAGTTTTCTTCCCCTCAGTTCAGAAATGGGGGTAACCACACACAAGCCACTCTAATAGTTCCCCCTTTTGAAAGTGCCCATGAATCCCCACAGGTCAGGAGGAAGAACAATGGTTGTCCCTTCTAGAATCCCCTCGGCCTACTGAGCAACTTCCAAAACTGAAGCCAGTGAAATCCTTGGTCCAACTAACTGCTAGTCACGATTTCCTATCAAGGAAACCAACCAAGACCCCAACTCAAAGGAAAGCAGCATTGGAAATGCATCACGAGAGCTTCCTGAGTTGTGGAACATGCTGTATGTGAGACACTTCTACCTGGCACATGGAAGGTAAGTCTTTTCGGTGCTCCTTTAATATTTCTGATTACACTGAGAAAGAGAATCTCCATCTCATCTTTAATAGTTATTTGGCCCCCTTGCCCCTTACTCCCCGCCCCCCTTTTTCTTTCTCTCCCCACTCCCATTCTTTCTCTCTCCCTCGCTCTTTTTTATTTTCCAGCAGACTATAGGCTTAAAACCTTGGGTTCACATTACTAAGATGTGCCCTAGCCAGAACTTCATCACGTTTTTCTGGTTACTTTCGGTCTACGGCAACTAATATTGGGCTTTCATTTAGGGTTCTGATACAAAGTTCCCTTTCAAAATCAGTATGTTTTTAAGATACAGTCATAAAGAAAAATATTAAGTTAATAACAGCACAAGTATTACACAGATATGGCAAACCGCAGAGCACAGTGCCTGGGGCATGCGGCATCACTATCTTCTCTCAACCCTGAATCACTCTAGTGAGTTTCTTCTCCCTCCTGCACAAGGTTAGTAGCATGTTACTGTGACAACTAACTTTTAAAAGTAGTTGAGCGAAAACAACAAAACCTACTCTTCTGCCTGGATAGAGTCAACTGGAGCCACATAATTGCTGGGAATGTAACCAGTCTCTCCGGTGGTCAAGGAGCGGGCTTCCCACCAATCTCCTTCCCTGCAGAGAACAAAGAGAAAAGGAAGTGAATGTGTTGACCATTTCAATGTTCTGCAGTTACAGACTCAATATCTCCTACTCATTCCACTGCCTGATTTCTTCAAACTCCAACCCAGCTCTTTGTAAGGGTCACATGGTTACTCTCTGAGTCAAGTGTGAGTTGAATCCAGTGCGGTCTCTCATTTCTTATCTTACTTGCCAATTAACAATGTAGGACCCTGGCCATGAGAGAACTCTCTTGGGGCGAGGGGGCATTTTGCTTGGTAAGTGTCCCCAGTTTGGACAGAGGGGAAGGGAACCCAGCCTCAGGCTACTTTAGAAAAACCCTGTGACAACAAAAAGAAAATGGTAATTATGTGAAGAGAAGAATGCATTATCGTGGTAAACATTCACAACATATCCGTGCGTCCACCCATCACACTGTAGACCTTAAACTTACAGTGTTACGTGTCGGTTACATCTCGGCAAGGCTAGAAGGAAAATGAAGCATGTGCTAATACTGCTAATTTAACCGTCTATGTCGTCTCACATCCTGAGGTAACAACACCCTTTGGTACTGCTGGAGAGAAGCAGACCGTTTGTTGGCTTTAGTGTCATTCTGTTAGCCGTTACAAGATGCACCAAAAAAGAAAAGAAAAACATTAGAGCTGCAGAGCATCTGAGAACGGAAACCTGTCAGGAGGCCCAGTAAGGGATGAAAGCCTCCTCTGAATACCTGTCTGGCTTGTTCTCAAGCAAGTGGGTAGAAGAATAAAGACAATAGGTTAAATCTTGTTCAGAAATTTTCAACCTCAGGTTCTTTCATCAACTTGACCCGAGTCTGGTGGGCAGGAGAGGAGGGCTGGGGGTAGCTGTGTGTGTAACAGTGCGGGGAGAGAACAAAAACTGGCCAGGGAATGGGATTCTGAGTCTCACCACATGGTATATAGCCTGGTGTTCCATGCGATCGCCTGTCTCAGTCTGGGGTGGGGGTGGGGACTCCCAGAACTGTGGGCAGGAGGACATGGCGGGGGGGGGGGGGCTTATATAAGCACCACGCTCAGCTGAAAACACATGGGTCTATCACATGGTTAGAGTTCATGTGCTTGAACCCATGGCGCTGCATCTGTGACAGAGAGCAGGGGTGGAGCGTGTGCTTCTCTGCACACATACACGTGGGGCTGGGGCCCCAACACGCACGGTGCCCATAGAACCCTGCGCCAGCCCGTGGCCAGGAACGCGAGGGCTGGGGAGGATGCTACTGTCCTTGAGCATACGGAGACCTCTCACACTGCTCTTCGGCAGGGGTCCAGTGCCTTCTCTCCTTCCTGTTTTGGTCCTTGGAGGCAGCAAGAGGAACCCCAGGACTTTTTTTTTTCTTTTTTTAAAATCACTGTGGCTGGACTCTGTCAAAGCCCACAGTCAGGGAAGAAAGAAACCACCCCAGACAGCAAGTAATGAAGCTGCCAATGGTGACAAGCCCACATATGCTCTGGGTGGGACTGTGGGGGAGTGTTCAGTGGCACAAGTGACACAAAATAGCCCATGAGAAAATGGGGTGCTGTCAGAGGCTTTTCACCCTATTAAACAAATGTGAACAGATAAATCAACCAAAAGAGGAGATAACTGTTCTCATACGTAGGAAGTCCTATCTATCTATCTATCTATCTATCTATCTATCTATCTATCTATCTAATGTTTATTTATTTTTGAGAGAGAGAGAGAGAAAGAGAGAACGTGCAGAGGAGGGGCAGAGAGAGGAGAGAGAGAGAAGCTCAAGCAGACTCTGCATTATCAGTGCAGAGCCCGATTTGGGGCTCGAACTCACGAACTGGGAGATCATGACCTGACCTGAAAACAAGAGTCAAATGCTCAACTGACTAAGCCACCCAGGTGTCCTTAGGAAGTCCTTTATTAATAAATCTTAAATTTAGTTTGTGTCCAGATTTTTCTTAGGAAATAACTGACACATACCAAAGAATATATGTGTATATGAACACCTGTGCATCAACCACCCGACTTAAGAGCTGGATCTTTACGGATTGTGTGGAATTTACTCTCGTGCTGCTCCCCTATTTTCATTCCTCTGCCTTTTGGACTCAAATCATGAAATTAAAATGTTAATGTTTGAACAGTTTGCATTGGCTTCATTTCTGTGTCCTCTAAAAGAAATACATGCACTTGTTAAGTATATCATCTAGGAACATATGTAGAATTTTTTTTTTTTTTCTCTGAACACATGCAAAAGAAATGGCTTTGGAGACTAAGATGGTGACAATGTTCACTGCTCTGAAACTCCACTAGATGGAGACATTTCATCATAAAAAAACAATACCCACTATCTCCCCACCTCCTTTCTTTCTTTCTCTGTCTCTACCCCCCACACCCGACACCTGGGAAATGCTCCAAAATGGTAAAAAATTAAGAGTTTTCAGCAGAAGCTTATCTTTTACTGCAAGATAACCTTTATCAAGTTAGTTCTAATAGAATTAAAAATATTTTTTTTTCATTTTACTTATTTGAGAGGGAGACGGGGAGGGAGGGAGAGAGAGAGAGACAGAGAGAGAAAGCATATGTGCTCTTGAGCAGGGAAGAGGAGCAGAGGGAGAGAGAAAGAGAATCTTAAGCAGGTTCCACAGTCAGTGCAGAGCCTGACTTGGGGCTCAATCCCATGACCCTGGGATCATGACCTGAGCCAAACAGATGCTCAACTGACTCAGCCACCCAGGCACCCCCAAATGATTTAAATTAAGATGAAGAAAGTCTAGTATCAATGGTGGGGTACAGGGAAATGTCACCTGGGCAGGAAGCCAATACATTTTGCTGCAGGCTGGGACAAGCCCAGTCCTATCCAGACGATCTGGGATGAATCAAGTCTGGTTGACCCTTGAACAACATGGGTTTGAACTGCACAGGTCCACTTATGTGCAGATTTTTTTTTTTCAATAAAAACAGTACAGTAAATGTACTGTCTTCCTTTATGATTTTCTTAATATTTTCTTTTCTCTAGCTCGCTATATTCTAAGAACACAGTATATAATATATAAAACATAAAATGTATGTTAATTGAGTGTTTATGTTATCAGTAAGGCTTCCAGTCAACAGTAGGCTATTAGAAATTAAGTTTTTGGGGAGTCAAGGTTATATGCAATTTTTTTAAAAAATTATTTATTTTGAGAGACAGAGTGAGAGAGAGAGAGAGAGGGAGAAAGTGACCGCGTGAGCAGAGGAGGGGCAGAGAGGCAGAGAGAGAGAATCCCAAGCAGGCTCTGCACTGTCAGCACAGAGAGAAATGTGGGGCTTGACCTCATGAACTGTGACATCATAACCTGAGCCAAAATCAAGAGTGGTATGCTTAACCAACTAAGCCACCCAGGTGCCCCTCTATGCAGATTTTTGACCCCATGATGTAGGGGGAGCTGGCACCTCTAATCCTCTCCTTGTTCAAGGGTCAACTACAATTTCCATTTCAAAGCCAGCATTAAGTATCTCATTTTGGTGCTGGCACCTAAATAGTTTAGAACAGATTAGAATCCAGCTATGGGCTCATTCTAAAGTCATGTATCAGGAATTCATGATTTTCTCTGAAGTGACTCCATTAATCTCACAGGGATTTTCAGTTATTCATGAGAAAGATAAAATCCTTTTCTCTTTTTCTAGGCCATCTAGGGTCACTTTTTCCATCAGAGGAGATATGAGGTGACAAGGAAACAATGTATTGTGTAGTAAGCCTCACAGGTTTGCCCAGGGAGGCTGGTACACACTCAAAGCATCTATCAAAAAAATCTTTTGAGCAAATGAGTAATCATCTCTTTTTTTTTTTTTTTTGGTTAATGTTTGTTTATTTATTACGAGAGACAGAATGTGAGTCGGGGAGGGGCAGAGGGAGGGAGACAGAATCTGAAGCAGTCTCTAGGCTCTGAGCTGTCAGCACAGAGCCCGATAGGGGCTTAAACTCATGAACCGTGAGATAATGACCTGAGTCGAAGTCAGACGCTCAACTGACTGAGCCACCCAGGTGCCCCTAAGTCATCTTTTTAATACACTAGAAGCTCAATTCACCCATAGATAAATAATACTCTTCTTTTAATTTTTTTTAAAGTTTATTTCGAGAGAGAAAGAGAGCGAGCGTGAGCCTAAGTGGGGAAGGGCAGAGAGAGAGGGAGAGACAGAATCCCAAGCAGGCTCCTCACTGTCAGTGCAAAGCCTGACTCGGGGCTCGAACTCATGAACCGTGAGATCGTGACCAGAGCCGAGATAAGAGTTGGACGCTTAACTGACTGAACACCCAGGAGCCCCGATAAATAATACTCTTTACGAATCATTCACCTTGATTTAGGAAAACAGAATTTTTACTATGCTACTTTTTATTTCTTGAATTATTGTGGGTAATTAACATTATTAAAGCTGCACTTAAAAAAAACCAGTTCTTACAGTTCAGATATTTCATTACTTTAGAGTTGGTGAGATTTTCTTTAATGTTATCAGGCTCTGGTCTAGAATAACTTGTGAGTTTTTATAACAGCTGCCCCTATTCCTCCCGTTTAAAGACTTATTAATAGAGCCTGTTGTCAATCCCCAAAATTGCTTATAAGGTTTGTTGGTCCCAAGAGCCTAGAGCCCTGATGCAGCCAGGAAGTGGCATTGGCAAACAGAAGTAAGGCTAGATCTGTTGAGCTCTGGAGCATTTTTTTTTTTTTTAACGTTTATTTATTTTTGAGACAGAGAGAGACAGAGCATGAACAGGGGAGGGGCAGAGAGAGAGGGAGACACAGAACCGGAAGCAGGCTCCAGGCTCTGAGCCGTCAGCCCAGAGCCCAATGCGGGGCTCGAACTCACGGACCGCAAGACCACCTGAGCTGAAGTCGGACGCTTAACTGACTGAGCCACCCAGGTGCCCCGGAAGCATTTCTATTATAAATGCTGTATTCTTTCTAAATTTGGTTACTGCCATCTTACTGTCAGAGAGCATATCCATAACAATTTTATCACATGCTTTGCTAGGGCTCTAAACCAGGATTTCTCCTTACCAAGATGAAAAGAAAGTAGTCATTACCCTAGGCACTATTCCAGTCTGTGTAACATGTTTATTATATTTTAAAGAGTCACTGTTTCTAGCTGGTAAATCACTAGTCGTGAAATGTGAAAATGGGGTATAAAATAGAAGAATTTAAACATTTTGGAAAATGGGTTCAAGTTTAACCATGTCCGAATACACTACACTGAGCACCTATAACAGGTCAGTGAAGAACCCTTGCTCCCACGCCGGGCAGCAGCGCCGCCGGCTCTGTGCACACGCACGTTCATGCACTCGAGGCCCCGATGCTGGGCAGCAGCGCTGCCGGCTCTGTGCACAAACACACGCACATGCGCGTTCATGCATTCGAGGCCCCGATGCTGGGCAGCAGTGCCGCCGGCTCTGTGCACACACACACGCACATGCACGTTCATGCACTCGAGGCCCCGACGCCGGGCAGCAGCGCCGCCGGCTCTGTGCACACGCACACGCGCGTTCATGCACTCGAGGCCCCGACGTTGGGCAGCAGCTCCGCCGGCTATATGCACACGAGCGTTCATGCACTCGAGGCCCCCACGCCGGGCAGCAGCGCCGCCGGCTCTGTGCACATGCACACGCCCGTTCATGCACTTGAAAACCCAAAGACCACCCCTGCCGTCTCCCGTTTCTGCCCCCTGACAGGGGAAGGAGTGGGAGGGCACACACGCTAGGTGTGGCAGCTGCCCCAGGGAGATCGGGGTGCCATCCCCATCCTCTCTCAGCGGACGACAGCCAAAGGCTGGGAGAGGCTGGCGGAGGGGGAAGGAGACGCAAGCCATCTGGTTCTGTATTATTGCTTTGTTTGTCCTTCATGATTTCCCCTTTCCGGTTACTACCCTTGACTTCAAGATATTGCATTTGTTATAAGAACCTTATCTTTTCCCCCATAACCTTGAAAAAGGGCATTTAAATGGCATGTAGGTTGAGGAATTCCACCGGCAAGAAGGAAGAACATTAAAGGGAAAAAAAAAAAAATCTTTGTAATACTTTCTTCTAAGAGAACAGGGCCAGAGGCTCGCACCCGTAAACACTAAAGGCCATGCATGCAAATCGTAAAATACTGATTGAGATAGATTGGATTTTCTTGGAATGTTTCTCCAAAATTCTAACTGAATGCCACTGTAGATCCTATCCAGGTTAACAAAGGAAGAAACCATGAATGTGACTTTGGCAAGGACCAGCTGTGCAAGTGGCCTATGTATCTGATGCACAGATCCCCTTGCAGTGTGGAGAAAACCTGCAGAGGAAGAGCTGTGTGTGGTCCTGCCTACTCCTCCTTAGTTCTCACCTTTTACAGGTTGGTTAACAGTTCTGGCCAACTTTGGGACTGAGGGAACATTACACAGAATGGGGATGGGAAGTGGTGGGTATTTCAGAATTCACAGTAAGTAGACTCTGACAAGAAGCCTTCATCTGAGAATCCAACTAGCAATGAGGAATCCTCCTATAAATCGGAAGAGATCAAAGCCAAATTCCCTTCTCCCCACCTCGCAGCCAGCCTTCCCAACCTTCACGTATCTTGAAAGGTTTGGTCCCCTCTGAGCGGCGTCTCTGGGCCTTTCCACGACCAAACCTGACACTGTACTCAGGATGCCATCGCCACATGTCACCCCTGGCTCAGCTGCCTGCTCGCTCTGCTGTGTACCTGGGCAACTCCCGGACTTGAGCCCCCCGGCTCCTCGTGTGTCAAACGAGGACCGTGAGACACAGCTCAGACAACTGCTCATGGCTGGCACACAGGAGCCTTCAACAGATGGCAACTGTGTGCTATTTAAAAAAAATTCCTGTGGCTATGAGGGGGGCGGGGCTTGCAGAGGGCAGGTAATGTTCTTCTTGAATTGGGCGGTGGCTGCACAGGCACATACAGTTTGCGAAAATACAGCAAACTATACGCTTTTAAAACACTGTGGTAAAACATGCATAGCAAAATTTACCATTTCCGCCATTTTTAAGTGTGAAGTTGAGCAGCACCAAGGACATTCACATTGTTGCGTGACCGCTACCACACACACTTCCACTATGTGGAATTTTCTGCATGTATTGGAATAGTTTAAAAAAAACAAAAACCTACCCACACCCATTAATGATGACAATACACATGATAATTAAAAGAAACCCCAACAACCCGTGGCTACTATATAGACCCTGTCTTCTCATGTCCGGAAGAGTTACCGGCCCCCAGTGGGAAGAAGGATCCAGCTCCTGCCCTTCTTGAAGGGTGGCAAATTCTGAGAGTTGGGGGCGGTTTTGACACCTGAGGGAATTTCCTGTTACAAGGACCGCCTCTCTCTTCTGGGACATGGATGCACTGGCCCACCTCCCACTCCTTTCGCTCGAACTCTCAGGAAAGACAAAGAGCCAGGCATGCCGATCCTTCTGCCGTCACGGTTTGCTCAGGGGACAGAGTCCAGAGCACGTGGCCCTGGCGACACAGGAGAATGTGCTGGTGGGCCCTCATCCCTGGAGTGGCAATCTTCCCCAGTCACTTGGGAGCACTCACAAGGAAAACTTGAGGTACAGTGACTTGCTGATGGCACGCTACGTTTTTCGCCTTCTCCTATCTATTTATTTATTTTAAAGTAAACTCTATGCCCAATGTGGGGCTCGAACTCACCACCCCAAGATCGAGTCGCATGCTCTACTGACTGTGCCAGCCAGGCACCCCCACCACCACACCATCATTTTCTTCGAAGCCTGAAGTTTTCTGGCAGGCACACTGCCTTAACCTAATAGAGGCAATATTGAAAAACTACAGGGAAAGGGAGCCTGGGTGGCCCAGTCGGTTAAGCGTCTGACTTCGGCTTAGGTCATGATCTCACAGTTTGTGGGTTTGAGCCCTGTGTCGGGCTCTGCGCTGACAGCTCAGAGCCTGGAGCCTGCTCCAGATTCTGTCTCCCTCTCTCTCTGTCCCTCCCCCCACTCAAAATAAACATTAAACATAAAAAGTACAGGGAAATATGTTTCCCTACATATGATGCCATATAGACCTATAGTTACTCTTCTTAGTGGAAGTATTAAACGTACAATTTGAAAAGTGAGTGACTCTTACCCTTGACATTTCCCCACTGTCTGTTTAACTATTGCTCTTACTGGTCACATTTAAAATGCACACATTGCAGCCATTCACAAGTGGGCGAAATAGCTTCTCCTTCCCATCTCATAAAGATTTCAGTCACTCGCAAATTTTCACTATGGGGAGACGCCTCCACAGGCTTCTCCAATCGGAGCATTTAGCAGTTTTGAAAACAGAAGGGACTTGTTGCCAGCCGTGAGTGAGGGCTCGGCTAGCGCAACTTGTAAGATGCAAAAACAAAACCCCAAAAACCAAAAACCAAAAAACCCTCAAGGCAGAGAGAGGGTAATGCGAACGGCCAGCCAAGCTTTGTGCCAATCGTGTGAGGATGCAGCTCTGTAGAGGGCGATACTGGATCTTGGCCAACCTTTAAACCCCAAACACCAACTCTGCTACTGAGGTATCCTCCAAAAAGCTCCTTGGACCCCAGAGCCATAAAATACTGTCCTGGTTCGTCTACCCTTCATTTCTTAAGTTACACTGCCACAAATCAATGAGTTTAGCAAGAGCTCTTTTAGCATTTCGGGTACTGAAAAGGCACAGACTGGTAACACAAGTATTCCTTCCCAACCTGAAAGACACGCATATTTCCCCTTCCCTCTCCAAACTTACGAGCTGTTCAATATTTGGAATTTTTCTCCTTTGTGAAAACTCAGGTCATCTTCCGTCCGTGCTTCATAGTCATAAAGGGCTACAAACAGGGTCACTCCTGACAACACGAAATCAAAAGGGGAGAGATTATTACACAAGGGGAAAGTATTTCCAAGAAATTAAATCTTCACTGAAGTCTCATTCTCAAAACCTACATCTAATCGGCACTGATAACAGGATGCGGCGATGTAATTCACGTGTGAAACCAGAGTTGCGGGGCTGAATGTATGCCTTGGTCTTTGTAGGGGAAGCATTACTCGATCCGACTAAAACCTAGAGTTGAAGGTGCACTTTTCTCTATGCGCCTCTGAATGAGTCCTCGGGAAAAGACACATATTAATGTCATGTCCACAGCGAAGGGGCAGCAGTGGTGGTATGGTTCACATTTGCAGAGGTCTGCAGCAGTTACAGACACCTTTTATCTGACACAAATTCTCCTCCTCTCAGGAGCCCAGGAACAGATCACTCTTTTCCCATGGTGTAACAGTAATATAGAATGAGATAGGAAACTCCTTCCTCAGCCTGGGATTGAGAAGACCCTGTCCAGAAATGTTCACCCCAGTTAGAGGATGTCTTCTTGCTCTTGGTATCTGCTATTGCTCTGGGCACTCCCTCTCTCCTATCACAAATTTGCCTATCCTTGCATTGACCTATAGTACTTACCCTTCCTCATGCCCGCCCTAGGTCTTCTCATCTGGTGGACTCCCCACAGAGGCCTTTTCTGCTTTGCAGAAGTCTGCTATCAATAGTAAGAAATGGCCAGCATCCCATCTGGCCTAGGACCTCCTTCACATAGTAAGCAGAATTCTAAGATAGCATCCTCAGTGATTCCTGCCTCCTGGTATCCGTGGCCTTGTGTCATCCCCCTGCCTTGAGTGCGGAAGAACCTAGTGACTTGCTTCTAACCGAGAGAACATGGCAAAGGTGATGGGACGTCCCACAGGTGATTAGGCTTCCAAAGATTGTGACTTCTGTCTTCTAGCCACTCTCTGAACTGCCATTTTGGCTTGAACACTTTGATGAAGCAAGCTGCCATGTCGGAGAGGCACACACGACAAAGAACTGAGGGTGGCCTCTGGCCAACAGCCAACGAGGAACTGAGTCCTGCCAACACCACATGAGCTTGGCAGCAGATCCTTCTTAGTTGGACTGTGAGATGACTAAAGCCCAGCCAACACACCTTGATCGCAGCTGGTGAGAGCTTCTGAAATAGAGGACCCAGTTAAGTCATTCCTGGATTTCTGACCCACAGGAATTGTGAGACCGTAAGTATGTATTGTTTTAAAGCTGCTAAGTTCGTGGTAATATGCGGCAATCGTTAACTAATACATCCCATTTCTCTGCTCTTTGGTCTCTTACTTTGCTGCCCACACACTTCAAAGTACCTGATATGGTCTAAAGAATGCACAACATGGATTCCATTCTTCACCAAGCTGCCATTTTGCTGTGTCCGTAGTTCCAAGGGAACAGATGTGCCTGTGGGACCACTCAAAAACCAGAGAAGGAGGTGGGGGCTTGTCTTTCCACCTCATCCCAAGTGGGGTTTCCCAGTAGGAGAACTGGTATTCAGAAGGTCTGACCATGCACAGCAGCAGGGCTCGTTTGGCAACTTTAGATTTCTTTGAAAGGTTGGAAGAGAAGACTGGCTTAAAACAAAGAAGTGGAAGCCTGTAGGTCATGCCTGTTCTCACTGAACACTCCGTTAACAGATTCCTTTTGTTACATAATTTGAAAACAAACCCAAGCTCCATTGTGTGGAAGACAAGGCACAGGAGGATGGATACTTCCATTCTCCCTCTCTCTCCCTGCATCAGCCTGCAAATTCTCACTGGGACTTTTATCTTCTAAGGGTGGAGGGGAGAGTCAAAGGAGGTCACCGGGGCACACAGACATTAAAGCACTAAAAGCAGTGGTGGAGAGACAGACCTGCACATGTAAGAAAGCCCAATAATACAAGGTGGTGGGGTGGGGTGGTGGGAAGCTGGGTGGCTCAGTTAGGTTGAGTGTCCGACTCTTGATTTTGGCTCAGGTCATGATCTCACGGTTCATGAGTTCGAGCCCCAGAGCCCCACGTTGGGCTCCTGGCTGATAGTGCGGAGCCTGCTTGAGATTCTGTCCCTCCCTCCTTCTGCTCCTCCCCTCTCTCAAAATAAATAAATAAACTTAAACAAAAAATAATACAAGGCAGAAAAATCTACCAACATTTGGGAGTGCCATGTTTGAACTTTGAAATTTTATAAGGTGGTCTCTTATATATATTGTCCCTGACGATAGTATAGACTCCCATGTTTAATGCCAAGTATCCCCTCCAGTGACTTTATGAATGATACCTGCAGGCACACGGATTTGTACCCAGCATTCATGAATGAACAAGGTCAATGTCTGCGTCAGTAGAATTCAGTCTGGTTGGCAAAGAACTCAGCAGGCACAGGAAGTGTGTGTCAGTGCATTTTTGGGGCGGCCCCCCCCCCTTTTTTTTTTGCTCCTGCATCCTCAGAGACAGACTTCCATAGAATGCCTCTTTCCTTCCTCCCTTCTTTCCAGGTACCTTCCGGGAAGGTAGGAAGGATGGGTGAGTGTGCTAACATTGATTCACTCATGCAAAGCCTACCTTAAAAGAAAGCTGGATCCCTTACAACACAATGACATAATGCCCAAGGCTCTGGGTCAGGTCCTCTGGATATAACTACACTGCCTTGTTGCATGCAGAGGAAAAAAAAAAAAAAAAAATCCCTGCTAATGCCTCAGTAGTGCCAACTCCCCAGGTAAAAAGGCACAGTGGGTCCTTATGTAAGACATCGCTTCCCAAATAAGCCAAAAGCATAATGGTTGATGTATATCTCCTTAAACTTTTGCAATAAACAGAACAATTTTAGAATAATGTCTAATATCTAGTTACCATGATTCACATGCTGGGAGAAGATTTGGAAGGCTAAGGATGCATGAGATAACTTACAAATATTTTGCAAAACATATGTCTGAGAACGTATGCCAGACATTTTACAAAGTATTAGCTAAGTCAGCAAATGTACATGGCAGTAAAACAGAGTCTTGTGGTGGGAAAGAGAAGGAAACTTAAAAAAAAAAATGAAAAGGATCCCTTAAGGATACATAAGATTTTATTAAAAACATTTTTTTTTTTAGTTTGAGAGAGAGAGAGAGAGAGCGAGAGAGAGAGAGCGAGAGAGCGAGAGAGCATGCAAGCAGGAGAGGGGGCAGAGACAGAGAGACAGAATTTCAAGCACAGAGCCTGATGCAGGGCTCGATCCCACGACCCTGGGATCATGACCTGAGCCAAAATCAAGAGTTGGACGCTCAACTGACTGAGCCACCCAGGAGCCCCAAGATTTGGCGCCCCAAGATACATGATACAATTGAGGGTTGGTAAACTCAGTCATATGGAAGGTGGTGGGAAGGTCAGAAAGAATTAACGAAGATCAATGGCCAAAAACTAATGCTGCCAAATGTTCCCACTAGCTGGAAGGTGACAGGCAGGCTGACGATCAGGAAGATGAGGGAGAAGGTTCTACCCATGCAAAGTGGCTCCTAACTGGGCTTTGGGAGGAAGGAGTGCATTGATATCTGGAGAACTCAAAATACACACTCAGATCTAGTCCTGGAGCTTCTGATTCAAAAGATCTTGGCTGGGACTCAGTATTTTGAAAAGCTGCTCGTCATTCCGAGTCAGCCAGCCAAGCTTGAGACCACTGGTTGGCAGAGAGTAGTACCTCAGTGGAAGCTGTACCTCCTAACCCATGCAGGATCTGCACAGAGCAGCACTTGGGGGTCACCTCATACCACTGTGGCCAGCATTTTCATTTGCCCATCAAGCCTTATGTTCTTTGTGTGTTTTTTGTTTTTTTGTTTTTTTTTTTTTCCTGTTTTCCAGCCCCTCATCTGGCAGCAGGTGGGTGGAGACTGATGAAAAACTTAACGCTAAGTCCTTAGTCAAAGGGAGCTGACGGGAACACAGATGTTCAATTGTCAAAAGAATTAAGAACAGCTCGATTCTTACCCGTTCCTCCCCTGGTACGCAAGGTCCCAGTGTGAGATGAAGAGTTCACACCCCCAAAGACAGTGAGTCCTTGGCCCCCGGCTGCATGGAAGTTGTTGTAGTTCGGGATGGAGGTCACGCCGAAGCTGGGGTAGTGCTGAGGAGTGGGGTCTGTGCCATAGCGGTACCCGGAGCTCTGGTTCAGGCTGCCATCCCTCTCCTCCGTCAGTTTTGTTGCTTCTTTATCCTTACATTGCACACAGCCCATTATCTAAATTCCTGCCGGAAACAAAAAGGAGGCATGTGAACTCGGATGCTCCTTAGTTGCTGGGTGGTTGGATTAAAGAGGAATCATTTATAAGGCTCATCCCTGGATGCTTCAGGCCTGTAAGGGACAAGAAAAGCAGCGGCTAGACTTTATGGTTAGAAGCAATCTCGGTGCCCCTCACAACCACATTTGTTCCCCATGTGCTCTGGGTGATGGGATCCACCCAGAGTACGGTCACAAGGCAGCAACTCCCTCAAATGAGGTCTACACCCCTTAAAATTCTGTAACACTACATACCTGCCTAAAGATAATCTAATACTACTTCTTATGCTTTTCTTTAGTCACCTAAAAGAATAGTGTACACTCTATAAAGTGAGCTTTTGCAATATTAGAATGAAAACCTATATCATGGCCCCCCCAAAAAAATCTAAGGAAGAGCAGGGAGGAGTGCTGGGAAAGCCAGAACACAGCTCCTACAACAGCTCATCATACCTCTTCCCTCACGGGTACCCATTCTTGAGACACACACTTGGTAAATTTTAAGCAGGAAGAGTGATATGTATCAAAATTAGGAAATAGTTGCCGGATGAAAAAGAAAATTGGCAGTAACTAAGAGGTCCAAGTGTATTTGCAGGATGTCATCATAGCCTACAGTAACAAAATCATTTACAGCTGCTAATTAACTTTTCCAATTTCCATTAGCTTTTGACATCTTTCAAATATTAAAAAAAACCAATCCCATGTTTGAGAGTTAGTGGTAGATTAAAAACTCAAGTTGCCGTTATCCCACACTCCTCCGAATCTACTTCTCCTGTGCTCATCTCAGACACACACCACCAGTGACTGACTTGCTCAAGTCAGAATCCTGAGAAGCGACTTGATTTGTTTCCTTTTTACTTCTTACTCCCCTTGTCTCATGCCCTACTATCTAAACATGCCAAACTCCTCAGTTCCTTAAAGGTTCCATTTCTTCTGCTCTCCTTCAGGCCTTGGAACATGGCCTTGAACATTCTTTCCTGAGGTGCAACAGAGCCTTCATGTTCCAGGTGAGACCGCTTCCTCTGCAAAGCCTTCTCTGACCCCCGTACCCACCCTCCACATCTAGGGTGATGCTCTTCCTAAGTGCTTCCACAGCATCCTGATTTCCCCCATCATGGCACCTCTTGCGCCATATTGGAACATGGTCTGTCCACCTGTCTCATTACCCAGTGGACTGTGGGTTCCACCAAAGCAGGGCCCTGTCCATTTTTGTCATAGCTGTAATGCAGTGCCTGACACGTGGTAGGTCTTCAATAAACAGCAATCAAATGAGTGAAGATTCTCCAGTCCAGTATGTTTCTCTTTCACCCTTTCTCTCTGCATCAAGACCAACCCTTCTCTCAGTGGCCTACACTAGCACTTGACCTTGCAGTTCTGAATCTATTGGCATGTGTGACAAGTAAGGAGGATTCAGAAATACAAGGTTAAGTTGGTTGAATGGTCCTACTTTGGACTATAATACCCTGTCAAGTTGATGGGGGTAAGTACAACATGCAATGGATGGCCCTGCCACAACTCTGAAAAGTGGCCCATATGAAACCAAAGGCTCAAATAAGAAACACATTGGCATCATGTGTAATTACACGTGTTCACTGGGGAGGGCAAAGCTGGTACAGGAATGGAAGGGACTTGAAGTAGTGGAGGAGAATGGAAGAGCCAGTTTTTCTTAGTATCTTGCAATCCAAAGTGGGGAGTGCCACATCAGATACAGACTCTTGGGAGGGGCGTGGGGGGTGGAGGGGGGCACTGTTCCGAACACCGCTTTTCTGGGGAACAGGGTCATGAAAGCAGCATCGGACTGCTCTAATGTCCTCTCACATTACACATTTCAATAAATACCTATTGAATTCAATGAATTCAGTTGAATTCAATGAATTCAGTTGAATTCAATGTCAGTTCCTGAGAATGGAAACGTCTGGAAATGAGCCGCCTACTGCTTGAGCTGAGATCACCAAATCTGGAACACATTTACACGTAAATCATTCGAGATGAACTTACAGTGTACTGTGTCCAACACGCTAACTTATGGTAGATGAATGCAATTTTAACAAATTTCCAATAGGAAATGCAAACGCTGTCCGAGGCATGATTTATGGAAGGAATTTCATCGTTTGTTGTTGCTATTGCTTCATAAGATTGATAAATATCTTGCTCGCTTTATATTAACTCTTTCATGGCAGAAAGTTCAAAGGTCAGACAGAAGACAGTTCTTGTTCCAGGCGCCTTTTTCAGGGATTTCAGTGATCTACTATAATTAGAAGATGTAAGACCTGAATCACAGAAGCACATCATTTACACCAGTGGTTCTCAGCCGGGGGTGAGTTCACTCCCCTCACCCCACCCCCTTTACTCTCCAAGGGACATATTAGGCAATGTCCACAGACATTTTCGGTTGTTAGAACTCAGGGATAAGAGGTACTACTGGTACCCAGTCGGTAGAGGCCAAGAATGCTGCTGATAAACATTCTACAATGAACAGGACAGCCTCCAGTAACAAAGAATTAACTGGCCCCAGATGTTAACAGCATCAAGGTCAAGAAATCCTGCCTTATGAAGGAGAAAGAACTTATATCTATATCTTTGAAACAGCATAACAGCTGTTTCCCTTACATGTGTGCGATCGGCATGCAATTCAGAATGATAGGCACTCTAAGTAGAAGGAAGCCATTTAAAAAACTGACACGAAATGCTGATTCTTCTCTAGAAGCTTACTCCTTGGGATAGAGAAAAGAAGCTAGAACCAGTGAGAACTCCCATTACAAACTACTCTTCCAACTCCAACAAAACAAAATGCTACATCAGCACCCCACTGAAAACAGGACTAAGGAAAAAACCAATCTTTCAAAATCCGCTAAGAAAAGGTATTACCACTGTAATAAACAACTAATACCGTCCATATAACTCTATGAAATAATGAAAGGAAACAAATAGTAAGCTCCTTGCAGGCCGGGATACTCTTCGGTTTGGTTTTGTTATTACATCCCCAGGGTCCAGAACAGTGCCTGGCACGCTGCAGGAGCTCAATAAATATTTGTTAAATGGTTAGAATGCTAAAAAGCAATACTCAGTCAAAAATCATTTGGAAGAAAACGATTCTTTTTTGTAGAAGGGGCAGCTCTGTTACCACTTCATGTATGTGCAATTTTGAGTAGGAAATGTTTCTGCACGGATCTTGCTTACTCTCTTCCTTTCACTGACAGACATGAAGAAACCAAAGTAAGTCAGTAAATGCAGGCTCAAGACATTAAAAGTTAATTGCAATGAAAATATTTTTGTAAGAACTTGTGGTTTTCTTCCTCCCACTTGGGGCAGTCAGACCAACCATCTCCTGATGGAAGAGTCAGAAGGTGCTCCATGAGCTGTACTCAATATGACTTCAGGCTCCTTGCCACAAGGCAAACCTCTGAGCATTCGAGTTAAAATAAAAACATCCTCTCCACATATACAGTTCTGTGGTGTGGCATTTATGGCCAACGGCCAAGGCTGTAGGTCCATTATGAACATATAGCGTACTAATAGACTTGCCCTAGATCTGTGGGACACTGGGAAACGCTGAATACTGCCATCCCAAAAGTGGGGCCCTGGAGTTACTCTGATAAGTAAATCATATACTATGAACTCATGACCATCATTCTCTGCGTGTTGTATACCTAGACAAAACTGACTGACGAACTCTGATAAGATCCTATGACTGTGGTCGAGGTGTCTGGATTGTAGCCGTGAAGCTGCCCACCCCCTGTGCCCCCCCTAACTCCTGCCATTCTTCAATCCTTTGGCAAAACTAAAGGGCTCTGTTTCTATTATGCAAGTAAAACCCGATTTACATAAAACTTCCTGAGTCCTGTGGATCTTGTATGCGCCAACGGCATTACGCAACTCAGGAAAGAGTTGTCGAAGAGAGAATCCAAGGATCGTCACACCCTGTTCGTGTGAGTCTGGCAGACATTGTCAACTGATCACAGCACTTTCTGGTGCTATGCCACATGTGGCCTCAGAATCCTTCTCCATATAGCCCTTGGGTGATTGACTGAAGCCGCCATAAAAGATGGAATCTATCCACTACTCTGGGCATAGGCTGCTTTGATCCAGAATGAGTCCGGTTGAACATCTATTCCCTTCACTGATGCCACAGACCATAGTCTGGTTTGCTAAGTGCACGTTAAACACAGATAAGCTCACACTTCCTTGTATGGCAACCAATAAAGCAACACCTGTATACTCAGGACTTCTGAGAAGATTTCTGGTGTGTACGAGAGCTACGTACCAAAAAGGGGAATAGGCTACTGGCAGTTGTCTGCAAAAGCAAATTACCTTCTCTTTTTTAAAAAAATTTTAAATGTTTATTTATTTTTGAGAGAGAGAGAGAGACAGACAGACAGACAGACAGGCAGGCAGAGAGAGGCAGGCAGAGAGACAGAGAATCCAAAGCAGGCACCAGGTTCTCAGCTGTCAGCACACAGCCTGATGCAGGGCTTGAACTCATGGACCAGAAGATCATGACCTGAGCTGAAGTCAGATGCTTAACCAACTGAACCACCCAGGCGCCCCACAAATTACCTTCTCTTGAGACACATAAACTTGAAGGCAGAGGAGAGATGGCAGGAGGAAGAGAGGTGAACATAACAACCATTTTAATTTCAGCAATTTGAGCACTTTTGCACCAGAAACCAAGCCAGGTGGATGTGGAGAAGTGAGAGCCCTGAGGCAGAAGTCCATCCTTGCTGTTGATTGCCCCAACTTTGAAGAGTGGCAGGTGGAGCCACACTGGCCTGTACTTTCAGGTGGCATGTCTCCTGGTGGTATCCCTCACCATCCCTATAGCTGGTCTCCACTTTGCCTGGGTGAAAATCATAACACAAGCGAAGGAACAAGGAAGGGCACCTAGAAACCAAACAAGCAATGGAGATGGGGACAGCTGAAAAAGAACTCAAAGCTGCATTGTAGATCAACTGCACAGTCTCATACACTTCTC